TCTTTTAAGTTTTGTCTGAAATAAATATTTTTTCACTTTTTTAGCTTGAATGCAAACACTAGCTGACCACGAAAGAAAAGTCAAGTGACGATTGCGATCCGGCTAGATTTCAAAGATAAGCTAAAAATGTTAAAAATAACTAAAATATATATTGATGGCTAAATACAACCACTTCATCACCACTTGATATGTATTGTTTGTGATTATGATTATACTATCACTATAATATTCACGGAAATATTAAACTACTCTTTAAAGAATCAAAGCCTGACCCCACGTTATGCGTGAAATTTAACGCATAAACAGGACAAACAAAAGTGGCGTCGTAGTGACGTCAGAGCATCGCGTCGGATTCGACAAAAGTATGTTTAGTAGTGCATTTCCACGCTTAAAATGTGCTATACACATTTGATGGTGGTCATTTATTTTGATGAATTAAGGGAATCTCAACGTCGTATTTCTCTCTGAATAATTTCAACATTGAGCTATATACAAAAAAATCAAGTTCAAAATTAAATCGTTCATTTTTTGCGACAGACCACAGTCACTTTACTAGGAGAGTAGAGTGACTGTTGACAGGCGTTCGATTTGCGCCTTTTACGCATAACACGAGATCTCGCACTGAACGGAAACCACCTATCGAACAATGAGTGTTGAAGCTATTTTAAATCTCACTTCACGTTGAATGCCAAGAAGTAAACAGGCCCTAGGTAATTTGCTTAACAACCTACTGCATTCTTTGTTTTTTTCTGTGGTTGTATTATTAATAAATATTAAGTGTTAGTGCGCCTTTTCCTTGAAGATAATATTCTTTTGTAATCCAAATACATTTGCTACCCACTGAGATTTTACGATATATTTCCCTGTATTAAATGTGTGTTGTATTACGCTAATCATTTCATTATTCATAGACTAGTACAAGAAAAAATGTTACGTAACACTTAACGCGTAAGTAGACGAGTATGTAAATGAGTAACGTGACTCTGAGGTTGTGTGTCGTATTCATTTATTTTGAAACTTTCAAGCACCGAACACCGTTGTCCAGCTTACAGAACTGTATTCTCTATGTCCGAACAGCATGACATTGGCTGGTATTTGGAGTTGTTATCATCACAAACTGGTGTAGGAAATAATAGAAATTCATGTTTAATGACACTCAAAATGAGCTTAGATTTTTTCTACCATGTTGACCAAGACCAGGTTCTATATTATCCACACATGTGAAATGATTAGATGACGCAGATTACATATTTTGGCTTGGTGGGTATCGATTCCCATTCAGATGACAGAATGGGAATTGATACCCACCACTTATCTGAGACAATTATGCTGTTCGATACTTTGTCATTCTCGAGACAACTGTAACCGACCAAATCTGAATTTTATGGTTAATAACAATGGTGATCTTTTGGATTCCCGTAATACTTCGGGCGGGATCATTGGAACAGTTGAAAAGCACTTATAAACTAAAAGTACGGTTTGGTGGCCAAAGATACGAGTGATAAATGATAAAAAACTGAAACAACTAACCTTGTAATTCAACGTTTTGCTGGGGAGGTTGTCACCATTGTTATATTAATAGTGGATCTATTTTTGAAACTAATAAATTATGGATGTAAAATGTCTTCAAAAACAAATAGGGCATACCTGGGTCAAGTAATTATACTAATTACTTCCGTTGATTGATTCGAATCGGTCAAAGCAATATGAATGAGCAGTTCAACTGCAGCCAATCAGTTAGCATCAAACGAAAGGCAAATGTGTTTATAACTGATAAACAAATGATGGCGCTATTCATATCCTTAAAGGCCGATGATTATTTTTCCAAAAGGGACGGTACATGAATAGTGATGTAGCAAAACACTCACTGTAAACACATGTAAACACATTAACCCTGGCTCGAGACACGTGTGAACAGTATCTTAAGACTAAAACAATGCCCTCTAATGATAATCAAATGGTAGGTGAATAAAGTTAAAGTTAAATGTAAACCATCGTGACCCATGAACAGAGCGCTGGTTTAAGCACTGATGAGATAAATGCTAATTGGCCTCCATGCCCCAGCATGTATGGTCAAGGCAAATATATACCATAATGACAATACACACAATTTTAATAACTGAGTCGGAATATAATACTAATCCTCAAATTACTCGGGTATTTGAGTATTTTTTTTAATGATGGATGAAGACATATCATAACTTTACAATGCTGCAAAGTCTCCAATATCTATTTACGAAACAAAGGTTACCACCAGATGGAGCTCTTCCTACTAACGATGTACAGGTAGGCCGACCATTTTTTATATTTCAACAAGAAAAAAATGTTTTTATGTTACCTTCATCTTGATGACCTTCTTATTGCAACATATGTTACAAATTATAGTTATTGCTTTTTTCAAAACAAAGAAGATTATAGCAAATATCACAATTATAAATACAGCAATGTCGATCAGAAAATATTCGACGAAACTCAGATTGAAAGCTTCAGCTCTGAGGTGTTGGCCGCCATGTTTGATGACGTATTCAATCCAGAAAACAGCAGTGTCACCTGCTGCCATGGGTTTGTCTTTGTGTATAGCTGATATCTTCTCGGTATTCTTCTTATAACTGAAATAAAGAATGAAAGATGACACATTGTTACAAAATGAATTTTTACATTTTTTGCAAAATATATCACAGTTCATATGCAGGCGATTATCAAGGTATGTTATATTTGGCAATTATTGTAAAATAATATATGAAACTAAACAACGCAAAAAAAAACATATCACGACAATTTTAACGTGCCACAAATTTATAAATTCGGTTCATCAATATATTTTTTCTATAAAACACAGTGTTTTAATTTTGTTAAAAAATAACACAAATGCATTCTTGCCCAGGTTCAAGTCACGTGCAAGTCACGGGTCTTGTATGTGCAATGATTGTCTCTATGACACGTGATTCGTATATGAAGCGAAGAGGTCATATGTAATTATAGTTGTTGACGCCTCAAGTAATGTAATAGCAATACAATTGCTTCCAGCGCGAAGATAGGTTGGCTCTTATTATTAAGGTGTTAATGTTTCAATGAAACCTGAAAGCAATGACTCTATAGGGATGTAGTTGCTAATCAACCACTGGCAGCTTAGCAACGACCACAACACGTACTATTCAATGCAGGAGGATTCTTCCCATGGTGTTATCACGGGTAAATCTCTCTTTCTCTCGGGTTCTCCACACTTGTCAGGGGGGGGAACTCGTCTCGTCTCTCTATCTCGTCCCCTTGAGGTACGGGATCGGGAAAGTCACTTTAACTTTACAGTCAAATAAGGCACACACAACGAAATACGTTTCAGCTCTCGTCTTAGTCGGTCAATCGAGCACTCTATAAGACACAGCGCCCTGGGGAAAAAATCCCCAAGACTCTCGCAAGGCTGACCCAAGACTAGCCCAAGACTGGACTGCCTCAAGGCTCGCCCCTGGACTCTCTCGGACTGCGTCTGTCGTGGAGTATTCGCCAAGACCAACTCAAACTCTCTTTATTCATTTTCAAAACTCTAACCAATTACAAAACAGTAAAACGACTCTAAGGCGTAAACTTCAATCATAAAGCCAATCAAACTAAGTACTGAATACGTCATATCTTTTGATTAATCGTTCACTACATTAATAACTACGGATGTCAGAATAGCGACGGTATCTTGTAATTAGTTCCAAACCACTGAGCCAAGTTCCGTCCAATACTTCAAATAGGCCTACACGATGACAGACATAACACAGCAATTCAGCTAATAATCAGTTAATTAAGTCGGTCAACAGATAGCAAAAACAAATTCATGACAGTGTACAGACCGGAGCAAAACAATTTTTTATGATTTATTGAGAACTAGAACTTTCATCATCTCGACAGAGGTCTATCTCGGCTTCAGGATCAAATGTTGAAGTGCAATTCTGATTTTTATATTTCTGAATTTCGTTTGTATTATTTAAATTGAGACCCTTAAACTAACAATCTACATCACCCTATCTGATTTCAATGGGTACACAAAAGAGTTTACAGGTATATAATTAAGACTTTTTTGTACAACAATGATAAAGATGGACAACAAATACATACAAAAATAAAAAAATATGAACAAAATTAAAACGGTTTCAAAAACTTGCCTGGGATTGCTCACAACTTCGGTAACAGCATTGTAGAGTTCATCTGGTGTCAGCGTACCAATATTTAGGATAACTGCCATGCCTTTACTAGATACTCTGCTGAAAGTATCATAATGATCACCGTACAAAGGTAAATCCTACCATTGGAACAGCATGATATATAGCTTCGTATACACCATTCATGCCGCCATGAGTTACAAAAGCTTTGGTGTTAGGGTGACCTATCAATTAAGATTTAAGTAAAATCAACATGATTGTGATTTACATACTGGAGAGATAGAATAAAGGTGATTATAATCGTGATCAACAAAGTTTAAAATTAAAAGTTAAAATGTGGACATGAATTACTGGTAGAAATACTTTCACTGTAGCCTTCCAGAACGTTTTAGGATCTGTTTCTAGGCCATATGCATTGCAAAGCATTTGTGTGTGGAACAACTGAACATAATTAATATATGCCAATGTTTGTGAAAAGATAATAAAGTGGCAATGCCTGGCTAAATTGCTATCTTTTATTTTCTATTTGGGTATTCTAGTTGGCATTAGCACATGTATAGTAAACTCACCTTGGTGATTTGTGTTAAATCAGTGTGGAAGCATAATATTCGTTGCTGCTAGTATCTAGATTGTGATTTGTAGATTTAACAGTCAAATAGGAATTGTCTATATTTTTAAAATTCATATTGAATTCATTTGAAATAACGTTTCAGCATAGTTCAAGTACGTACATATGGATTTAAGAGGATTGTTATCAAATAACAAAATTAATATGCCTACCAAGTAAATCATTTTGAGGCATCCATTTTGTCAATTTGGTATTATTACCAAGAGTTGTTGGTGGGGGTCCATTATATTTCATGATTACGTTCTGTGGCAATCTGGCAAGCCCAGCGCAAATAACTTCCATTTTCTCGGGATTAGTCGCGAGATTAGTCATTGAACCAAATGATAATATAACAACTCCATGTCTGGATGACTCCATAAACTCTGTCCATTCCTACAATAACGCAAAATATTTTAAAGCACATCTTGACAATATTAGTATTTATATGACATACTAAATGACAATTCACATTAAATAGTCACATGTCTCTGTCACGCCAAGTCAATTTATTAAATATTAGTTAAACCTATCGGCAAGCAAAGATACATGTTTAAACCTAATTATATTTAGCACATATATGTTATCCGATTGTATATAAACCAGGAATTAGTTTATTTAGAAATGCCAATTGAATGTAGTTCTTTTTGATTCCTACGAGATTGGAGCTGTAAATTGGTGAGGAAGAGTACAAATAATGAAATAATCATTAATCATTAATAATCAACTTAATTTTGAGTAACATGGTGTTCCAGAATTGCTGTCCGACTAAAAATTGTACACACATATAATCCCTGGAGGGGTGTATTTTAAAGAGAGAAAGTTTGGAA